GCTGCGTGCAAGTGGGTCCTTGTGACACACGGGGATGGGGGCAGCCAGCGCTCAACCTGTCATCCACGTGGCTGGCCTTGTACGTAAGAGGTTATGAACAGGTGGAGCTTTCCTTACCTCTTCCCCTTCCCCTTTTTTCCTTTTCTTTTTTTCTTTCCCCTTTTTTTCGCTTCTGCGCTCTGATTCACAATGTGACAATATATATACTATTTGTGACGATATATATATATATCGATCGATCGATTCAGGACTCTGTCATTGTGAGCAAATTGCTTCCTGAGCAGGCGGGAAGGCAGCAGGGCTGGCAACGGGAGGTGAGGGATATGGATTTTAGTCCCTTGCCGCCTTGCTGGACTGATACCTACAACCGAGTCAGTTAGTACAGTCACTGTTCGTAGCGTAGCATTGTTTTGCGCTTTGGTCTGGCCAATGCAAGTTTTGAGAATAATATTATAATAAACAGTCTCCCCCCCAGTAGCGCATGTCTGCTACTTTGGTGTGTGCTCTGTTACCGACATGAGAAGATAATTTCCGGAATCACAACTCCTTTTAAGTTGTAGTGGCTTGGCAGCGGTGTTAGGGATATGTGCTCTCTTTCAGAAGTAAGCAGATGACTTCCTGAGGTACAAATTTCCATCAAGCTAACATGGCGTTGCCCTAGCTGTGATAGGTTTCTTTAGAGCGCGCAGATGTGAGACACGGTCGCCAAATCAAGAAAACCAGCCTTCGAGGGCACTCCAGCCGTGCCTGATGGGTTGGCTGTGAATCAGAACATCCCCTTGTTTGTCTGGAGGCTAGGAGATTGGACCCGGATATCTCGAGTACCTGCCTCGTCATCACGGAAGGAACGGAGCTGCAACGCTATGTAAGGACCTGACAAACACGGACTGAGACACAGTTGATTTCTGAGTTTTGTCAATGGAATGAATGCCTTGCTGAGTTTTCCGCTTGTTGCTGAGTTTCCTAAGTCTGTGTGTCTGCGTGCCTGTCTGAGTGCTCGTCGGTTTGAGTGTGTGTGTGACCCGCAAGGGTGCATGTCCGTGCGGAAGGCCCAAAGGGACCGATACTTACCTGTGGCCGTGACATTGAGGGTTGCAGCGGGGAAAACACTCAGTGGTGGGAATAGGCCCACGGCACTTAGAGCATTGGGGAAAAACACTCAAGTAGCAGGTAGGCCGGTACCACACGAAGTGGTGGTAGATGTGTTGGGTACTCTAGGCGGATCAGAAGAAGACGAAACTTGGCATTTTTAGAGGCCCAGTAGTTGTAGGCTAGGTCCAGGGCGGTACCAGCCTTGGGTACTCGAGGCGGATCAGAAGAAGTTAAAACTTGGCATTTTTAGAGGCCCAGTACTTGTAGGCTAGGTCCGGGGCGGTACCAGCCCAAGTAGTTTGAGTCTAGGGCCTGTGCGGGCAATATCAGAGTCTGCAATGATGCTTCCCTCTGAAAGGGAGGAGGTACCGATTGCTTGGAGGCCGCACGGCCTGGAAAGTCACCGCCCAAGAGGCAAGCAGGCCGCTATATCTCCAGGAGGAGCGAAGCGCTCCGCTTCGCTGCTCCTCATTTGCAGCGTGCAAGTTTCGAGTCATGTGGCTGGAGCGCTGCTGGAGTGCTGGTGGAGCAGCGCTGGAGTGCTGGTGGAGCAGCACTGGAGTGCAGTGCTGTGTGGGAGCGCCCAGCTCCGGCTGGAGGAGGAGGAAGAGGAGGACTAGGAAGGGGGAGCGCCAGAGGTACTTACCTAGCTATGGTGGACAACATCTTCATCTCCTTGGTGGGCGCTGCATCTGGAAGGCGCCATTGGGGGTAGAGCTACATCAAGAAACTTCGAGGCAGAGTCAGGCTTGGCGGCCTGAGCCGGAGCAGCCATAGCTGCTTTGAGTTGTCTTTTGCACATCAGGGCAAGGCCCTAGCAGCTAAAGCCTCGGCCTTCAGGAAGAGGAAGGGGAAGGGTGGCCATGGCTATGGTGGACCTCATGTTGTATCTGCAGTAGAAGAGGGATTCAGACATTGATTCTGGTTCAGCCATTCAACATTATTATTGTTTTTATTTATTGTGGAATAAATAGGGGACGAGAAAAGGAGGAGGAGAGTGGTTCGCGAGAAAAAAAGAATTATCAGTGGTCTTTGCTGGTGTACATCATCTTCTTCTTCTTTCTTTCTTCTTCTTCTTCCTTCTTTTTTTCTTCTTCTTCGTCTTCTTTCCCTTTCTCTCCTCTCAAGTTCATTCATTTCTTTTGCAATTGGACGACATTGTGCTTTCTCATGAATTCGTACTTCGAAATTGGCCAGGATCATAACACCTCGTTGGTTGTCTTGTCTGTGGTGGTGTGCTATTCTCTCTCTCTCTCTCTCTCTCTCTCTCTCTCTCTCTCTCTCTCTCTCTCTCTCTCTCTCTCTCTCTCTCTCTCTCTCTCTCTCTCTCTNTCTCTCTCTCTCTCTCTCTCTCTCTCTCTCTCTCTCTCTCTCTCTCTCTCTCTCTCTCTCTCTCTCTCTCTCTCTCTCTCTCTCAGGACCAGCCAGAGCATGGCGTGACTGTGGTCTTTGTGCACTTGTCCACGGCAACAATTGAGCTCCTGCATCCACTTGGTGACAACAGTCCTATTGCAAAGTTCATGGAGAAGAACCCAAAGGGGGGGCTGCATCACCTCTGCTTGACGGTATGTAATCCTCGGACATTTTCTCTGCCTGTCCCTGCCTGTGCTGATATGTTATGTATATCGCAATTCTTTGTCGTCCGAAGTGTTGCTCTTAGCAGATAACCAGTGTGATTGTCCCTCAAGAGCCAGGGCTGTTGTACAGAGCGTATGCAAAAGCAATACGTTGGATTTGTCCATGGCATACCATCACTCCGTAGCTTTGCGAGCAGAAGCAGCAGGGCCCTTGGTGCCTGATGCATGAGTTGAGAATCTTGTTGACCAACCAAAGAGCTGTTATGATGCTGTGCATATGGAGGTGTCATGATGCTGTGCAGATGGTTTAGCGTCGGGATAGGCAACTCCTCACACTGCAAACTCGTATCAGAGTCAGGAAGCCCTTGTGTATTTTGTTTGCTCTCAAAGCTGTGGTGCAGGCGAGTTAGGACAGCTTGCACTGGATGGTGTTGATATATGCTAAGAGAGGAGGAACCTGCCAATTATCTCAACTACCTTCTTAACCCTTCATTATCGCGGCATCTCGTCTGCCCGTTTACCACCTGAATAAAACACCCGTTCATAATTGCAAGAACAGCTTTAATGACTGGGCGTTCTATTCGGGTGAAGAGGGTAGGTTTGGTTTATGCTCTATGGAACAATCGTAGTACCCGTGGCGTCTGCTGCTCCTTCCAGTGAAATTCTTGGATCAAAACCAAAGCTGCTCTATGCTGCTCCTTGACGGATAGTTAAATTATTAGGTCAAAACCAAAGCTGCTGTAGTCCCCACAGTGTTGTGTCCATGCTTAAGACGCATATGCTTGTCAATTACTAGGCTCTGTTCATGTTTTCTGAGCACAAACGTGGTAACAGTAGGACCTTCCCCTTTCTTCATCCCTACACTTATAGAAATCGCTAACGTGAGAATTGGGCAATCCGGGCCACCCACGGTCCTACGGGCCCGCCGCGGTCCTACCGGGCCGATGGCTTCGATCGTCCTGCAATGAAAAGACTTTAAGATCACGCAACGATCCAGGCCGTACACCAGGTCGGATGGCCTGGATTGTCGTGGGATCTTAAAGTCTTAAGACCGCGCGATGACCTGAACCGTCGAGCCGGCCGACGGTCCAGATCAATGCGCCCATTGGGAAGAGGACCTGTACGGGCCGGTAGGTAGTAAAAGAACTGCCGGTCCCTACGCCCAGTGCCTGTTGGGCATTGGCCCGCTGATGGACCGTTGAGTTCAGGGCCTGGCCATACTCTATACGCGACCCGAGGATGAACTCTATAGGATGCGCTGCATCGTAACGAAGCTGACAAACGCCTTATGCGGACAGACAAGTCTATGCGCTGAATCGTATGGCCCTACAGTGTGGCTGATGGTTCTTGATCACGGTCGAAGCCGACCTCTTCCCTGCACTTGTAGAAATAGCTAACTTGAGAAGTGGGCAATCCGGGTGGCCCGCGGTCCTACGGGCCCGACGGTCCGGATTTTTGCATGATCTTATGACTTTAAGATTGTGCGATGATCCAGGCCGCGCGCGGTCCTACCAGGCTGATGGCTCGGATCGTCGCACGATCTTAAGACTTTAAGATCGTGCGACGATCCAGGCCGTCCGCCAGGATTGTCATCGGATGACCTGGATTGTCGTGTGATCTTAAAGTCTTAAGATCACGCGATGACCTGAACCATCGAGCTGGCCGACGGTCCAGATCAACGTGCCCGTTGGGAAGAGGACTGTACGGGCCTGTATGGAGCATGATATATGACAAGGTAAGATGGTATGGAGACCAGGAGAAGGGTAGGAATATTATGTTGCTGACATCAGGAAATAGGATCGGGAAAAGGTAGAAGCAGGCTATGGTGAGTTTTTTTCTCTTCTTATCGACTCTGATCGTGAAACGGAGAGGAGGCAGGGCAGCATCGGGAAGAAATGGTGAGGGAAAGAAGGGACATGAAGACCGGACATGATGATGCGATTAGGTCCTGTATGACTAGGGCGAAAGCAGAGGGAAAAGACTTCAGAGGGACAACATGACGTGAAAGAATATGGATTGGAATGCAATGTCGAGGGAGAAGAGAATGTGGGGGAGTCAGGATCAGGGAAAAGGAGGATGGGTGTGGCAGTTGTTGGGGGTCTGAGAGCGGGGCGAAGGAGGACACTTACAGCCGTGAAAGGAGGATGGGTGCACCAGTCGAGGGAAGGGAGTGGGTAAAGAAGAGGGGGAGGAGGCACACACGACTGGATTGTGTGGAGAAGGGGAACTAGGAGGGACAGGCAAGAATTGGGGAAAGGAGGGGGGGGAAAGGCAGCAGAAGATAGTAGGACTGTAAAGGGATCAAAGGATTTGATGAGGGTAATGGCACAATATCACGGAAGAAGGGGGGGAGTCGTGGGGTAAGGATAGTACAGTGGCAGAGTAGAGGAAGACCAGGAATAAGGTACACGTCATGGATGGGGCAAAGATGGGGGGACGGGGAAGAGTGTTCTCGGGGACAGTTCCGTTTATTGTGTCGCTGTTGGTGTGTGTGTGT